CCTGCAATGAATGATGGCCTCAGGCACTATATGACGCATGCTTTTATTAACAACCAAAATGTGTGTTACGATGACCTAGCAGTTTTTATACAAGTATTGAAACCTGTGTATAACCATAACACATTTTTATCTCAGGTTTAACAATTTTTTTTACTTCACCGCAATGTTTTAACATATTTTAACTAAAACTTCCTCAATTTTTGTTGAGATAGAAGCAAGGGTTACTCAATCATTAACCGAAATAAAAACAAAAAAAAAACGGAAATCTATGGCTCGTCGGCAAAGGGTAGAAAGAACCCTTTAAAATAAAGAGGATATAAAAACACGTATCGCTTTAATTCTGTTATGCATTTCTTAAGTATGGCATGTAATTCAAATTAAGAGTTTTCAAGAAACATTAAATACAAACTCTGATGATTTAATTGCTCAATATTTCAAACTTTTATCAGATCCTGTCGTAAATGAGTATGATATACAAAATGAGACTGACTGAGAAATCTGCGTGCTGTATTCTAATATTAGATCCTTACATAATTATTAGCGTTTTGTCAAACTACCACCCACTTTGATCATAAATATCAGGCGTCTGGTTTGGAATGACAAATTCAGATTTATTTCAAAATTAGACTAATGTATATTTGTGTTTTAAATTTAGTAGTTCATTTGTTTTCACGCCATTTTTTTTAATCTATCACATTCGGAAAATAGAAACCTTAAAATATCGCTTATATTTACGAATATGAGTTCCACCGTGGCACCAGTGCTGCAGAAACAACTCGAAGGCCGGCCCTAATAACGAGAAATTGAAGGTCATCGTGGAGCAAGAACCATCACAAACTACGTCAGAGTTAGGGGCAGACTTCAGTGTAACTGATAAAACAATTTGAAGAAATTCACCTTAAAGAAATTTCAAAAGTGAAAGAATCGAAAAATTGGTACCGCATGAATTAACTGAAGTGCACAAACAAACACGAATTGAGTCCTGTATTACATTACTCAACCGTCACATTAACGAGGGAATTTTGAATCGTATTGTTACTTGTGATGAAACTGGATCCTGTACGATAATCGGAAATACTTATCACAGTGGTTGCACCCTGGAGAACTGGCCAAATATTTGAAATCTTATCCTAAGAGAAATTTGACTCAAAAGAAGGTACTGGTGAGTGTTTGGTGAACTAGTGCAGGAGTTATACACTACAGCTTCCTAAAATCTGGTCAGACGATCACGCCAGAACTGTATTGTCAACAGTTACAAGCCATGATGGAAAAGCTTGTCATTAAACAACCGAGACTGGTAAATTGCTCTAGCTCAATGCTTCAAGACAACTCCAGACCCCATACTTCCAAAGAGACGCACAGTATTTTAAAATCACTTGGAAGCGGACATTTTTTGGTGAATACATGACATGATTTATCAAGTAAATCGAAGGATTTTTCTAAAAGAAACCCGTTGTCTATCTTCAAGTTTTCGAGAAAAAAAATTACGAAATTGGCTTATTTCGTGTGTGTTAAAATACGATTTTTCGTTTATCTGGCTTATGTGAGTAATAAAGCACACAATTTCCCTTTTTTTGAGCTATACATCAGTGTTCCTCATAGATTTAGGTAGGTAGTTATTAATGTTTTTAGAATTTTATAGTAGGTAACAAAATACCCTTATTAAAGTTTTTTTTTCAGCAACGCGTTGCTGAAAAGAAGGCGAAGGTGAAAAGAGGGCGGAAACCAGCAGTTGGTCTGGAAAAGCAAATTGATAATTTTACTAAATATAATATTATGATCAATATTTAGACAATCCTGGAATAAAGTACAATGCCCCATTTTTAGGGTTCCGTAGCCAAAATGGCAAAAACGGAACCCTTATAGTTTCGTCATGTCCGTCTGTCCGTCTGTCCGTCTGTCCGTCTGTCCGTCTGTCCGTCTGTCCGTCTGTCACAGCCGATTTACTCGGAAACTATAAGTACTACAGTGATGAAATTTGATGGGAATATGTGTTGTATGAACCGCTACAAAATTATGACACTAAATAGTAAAAAANCGAACCCTGACTATAGTATAGCTTGATTCCCAAAAAAAAACTCAGCCAAGTGAAGGCCTAGTTTGTTCCAGGAGAAAGTTAAACTGAGATCAAAAAGGACAAAGGACAAACCAATTGGTTTGAGAGACTAAACTGAATAATTTTCTATTTAACTTCCTGTGAGGTTTGTAAAATCTTTTCTACAGATCCAATGGTGTAAGCAGCAGTCATAAGAGATTTGTAACAATAAGGAACATCTACTAATTTAAAGAGTACTTAGGATTAAATTGGTAGTCATCTCAAATACAGTATTATCTAACTTTAGTAGATAACATCAGGCATGAGGATAATGCGTATGTTTTATCATCATTATCAACTAGAATGCTCACTTTTCACTATGTCAGATGTACCTACATTTAATTGTCCTTATAAATATTTGAAGATTTCTTCTTATAAAGAAGGCATCAGTGATTTTGCTTGTGCAATATGGATTTTATAATATGTATACTATTTTTTAGTTAAATAATTTTCCTACGGTTAGTTTAGTTATCATCCAGTGATAAGATAAAATAGTAATTTAAGATTAGGTAGGAATTACAGAAACCAAAATAATCTTAATCACATGTCTTTGATTAAAAATATATCAATCAAAGATTTGCCCAACCCAATGTCTGACCAGCTCAAAACTCACATGACTTGTTTTATTATGTAATTAACTAATTCCATAATCAAATTAGGTCTTTGAATACTTGAAGAAAACTAAATAAATTGATCCATCACCTTTCTACAGCAACCTTGATATTAGATTATGTGAAAAATGGCTATCTGACATTCTTATTGTAGCAACTAGAGTCAGATGCAGTCAGGGATCAATAACTTCTATTCTGCAATGAACTTTCTAGACACAACCACTGCAAAGGAAACAAATTAAGCTCACTGTGGATTTTTTGAACATTAAATTAAGCCAGTTTTGTTGTAAAGATCCCCTGTTAATGACATTTACCATAACTGTACTGCACAATTTAAAATACAAAACAATATTTAGATCGTTATTGATTTCATACATGCAGTAATGGTATAAAATTAAATTAATAGTAAAAGTAAGACTAATTTCTGATTTTGTGCATTGTTAATTGCTTTTTAATTGCAATGTACATTTGTCTCTAGATTGCTCAAAGGTTTGTATGTAACTAAAATGTAACTAATTTAACTGAATGAAACATGTATAAGGAAATCCCTAGTGAGTCATGTCCTGCCTGAGTACCAGACAGTTTAGGGAAAATTACAGTTTTGGACAGTCAAAATATTATGATATTTCCAGTTACTAAATTAAATAGACATAAACATAACACTGGACAGACAGACAGATTGATTTTTACTATTGTGATAAAATATGCCTTGTGTCTATGTGTGGTAGCCGATGTCTTAATTTGATTATGTTGTCTATAAAGAAAGACATTAATTTAACAACTATGATAAAAATGAATAAAAACTGTTAATAAAACAGATTACATATCTAAAATAGCTACATGAAGTTCCACCCTCTTTTCTTTTAGGGGCGTACTTGCGTAAATGTCCGCCCTATGAATACTAATTTGTGTAACTTTCTAATTTCTGAGAAATTGCTATTCTAGTCAATCAATGAGCAACTGCTGAAATCGTGTTTTTTGTAATCATTGCGAGCATTATCAATAAAAAAGTAGTATCTTTGAAACGAGGGCATAGGACATCGCCAACAAAACGGGGTCACAGATTTTCACATTGAAGCTTCTTTGGCTGAAGATATCACTTTTTGTTAGGATTTAACTAACACTAGATACTTACATCGCGGAACTGCACCAGTCCTAGCTCTCCGAGTTCAGACACGCACGCATAAGCCGCTTCACTTTGCAGAAAAAGCTGGCATAATGTCATTTCCTCACTCCTAAATAACGACCCCATCTTGCACTTTTGTACAACACCACACACAAAAAATAACAAGTATCTACAAAAACTAAAGGACTAGGCTCCGTCGCATTGGTCTGCACGCAGACTTTAGCGGCGACGAACCCGAATTAAATGGCAAGGCAAAATCAATCAATAGAAAAGGTTTTATTAATCTAAGAGAAAAGATAACTCCTCGAGAGAGACATCCGTTTCGTCACCATCTCCAACTGTCAAGCAGACAGATGACAGCTAATATCAGGGTTACTATATTATAGACTAAAATTACCAATAATATAAAGAAAGAAAGAAAACAAAGAAAAAAATGAAAATGACTGGTTGCGAAGCGAGAGTTGAGGCGATCAATACAAGCAAAGATTTTATCTGTATACCTTCGTGGCTATATCTAACCAGCTACAAATAAAATCATTTTTGCTTTGTCTCTAAATAAGAGAGTTCAATTATGTTGGAGGTTGGAGATGAAAGGGATGGGAATTTGGTTGTCTGGATTTATTCCCTGCAGGGACAAAATCGGCACCCTCTAACCGCCCGCTATTTTCAAGCCCTTTTTTGTTGTGGCTTGCGCCTTTTTGCAACGTTATAGAAAAAAAACTTTATTCGCACCAACAAAAACAAAACATTTATAACAATCAACATAAAGTAAATGACCTAATTTGCTTTGCCTCAACAGTATTGTATTTTACTTTTTAAAACAAACATGATAAAGGTAGGTAGTTGATTTTACTAGTCTGCAAATAACTTGGGAATATTTTTGAGGGTAAGAACCACAGATATGGATTAGAGGTAAGAACATTGCTATAGTTCTATCGCTATCTCACTTGCGCAAAATTTATTTTTGTTCAAAGACATTTGCAAAGACGAGACAAACTAACGAACAATTAAAAGTAACCCAGATAAACTATTTTAGTTTTATTAATTTTCTCCTATTTTAGTAAAAAACTAACCATTACTTTCACATTAATCTTATGATATCCTGTCTTATTAGAAACGAACTTTGTAAACCATTGTCATAATATTTTTAAGTTTTAATCAACAAAATTTAAAAGTTCCCAACTTTGACACAACACGTCGAGTTTCCTTGTCTTACTCACTAATTTTCATAGAGCTCTATCTCTTTCTTGCGAATCATATGATAGTTGCATTAGTGTTTCTATTGTGACGGTTAATAATATGTGGGAGGCTGGGAGAATAAATTGAGGTTATAAATTGAATCTGGAAATAAAAATAATTTAATAATAGAATATGAACGAGCTTTGCTGTAATCTGTGAATAAGATTTAGTTCAAAATGGTGTGTACATTAAATTATTAGTGTCCATTGGTGCATGCGTAATAATATTGTTGTAGATACTGTACTGTAACACAATTAACTTTTCAGGCATTACTGGGTGCCCAACTAGTTATAACACTGGTAATGGTGTCAGTGATACAGAAACTGGGAAGTAATTACTCGTTAGCCAAATGGCTGCTCTGTTCGCGAGGGTTGTACCGGTATTTGTACCCAGATAACAGTGAATTGAAGACATTGGCAGGGGTGCCTAAAGAAAAGCCGAAAGGTAAAAAGGGCGGCAAAAGTGAATCGAATGGGAAGCCAGAAACGTTTCACGTGCCCCGCAGCCTCGAGATTCAGCTGGAGACGGCCCCGGTGACGCTGCTGGATGTTCAATACTTGAGGTTTTATCCTGAATATCTATGGATAGTTGATTTCTCACTTTACACTGCTATTGTGTATATCATGTCAGAGGTAAGTTTACTATTAGATCAATCAAATGTCTATTAAATGATTAAAGAACTGTTTTCATTGATGATTAAGCAAGAGTGAATAAAGTTAATATAACAATACTCAAAATACTATTACAGTATGGTACATGTAAATAGTGTGGAATGTAAAAAATTATTGCTATGACTGTAATATTATGGGTATTATAATGAAGAATGTTCACTAATTTTGTTTTTTAGCTTTCTGTATTCTCTGTTAAAAATAAAAAATACACGTGAAAGAATTATTTCGATACGTCAATTAGTTTCCAAGATATTGAATTTTAAAAGTGCGGGCGGCGGCCGGCCCGCCATTTTATGCGCGTGACGTCATATTACAACGACTGGCTCATATTTGTATGGGTGGAATCTTGCAAACTGAATTAAGACCCACTTCCAGGCAACCGATTAAGCTGAAATTTCGCAAACACATGTGATTTGGATGACCATGCAATATTATGATGACATGGAGCTGATCTGATGATGGAGCTGGAAGGTGGCCATAGGAACTCTATAATAAAACGACTTAAATGCATCGAGTTTGGGCTCGTTCGTTTTGTATTGATGAGTATTTTAATTCTATATAGTAATATAGTAATCGGGGTCTAATGATGGAGCTGGAAGGTAATTCGCAATAAAACGACACAATCGCATCAAGTTTGGGTTTGGTTCAATTTTAATTTCTGTGATGGGTCTGGGTGTTAATATGTATAATAAGTTTGTATTTACAAAAAAAAAATTATTTAAGTATGTTTATATCCGTTTTCTAGTGAGCGGACGCTGTGAATGTACGTCACACGGGGTCACGTGACCGTCGGCGGGACTCAATATTTAAGCGAACTTTGAATGCCTATAAAATCATAACTACTGGGTATTTTTGAATGAAATAAAAACTAATGTATTTGTAAATGTAAAAGCTTAACTGTAACATAGGTTTCAAGTGATTTTGCATACCTAGTAACATTCTCAATTCTATGGAATCTAATAGGTAAATGGTACCTGTCTGAAACTATGAAATTAAATTATATTTTCTTTTGTTTTTTCAGATGTATACTTCAGTATTTCCACTGAAGGATGAATTCAACCTGAGCATGGTTTGGTGCCTTCTGGTGGTGCTGTTTTCATTGTATCCTTTTAAAATATTAACAAAATTGTTAGTCTTTGCTGACAATATTGGGGGAGGCATATGTTCAGCAGTGGACGTCCTATAGCTAAAATGATGATGATGATGATATTATTTTATTTTACAAATAACATAAACTTAACTCAGCACCCAGAAAGGTCCTTTTGTCCCTCACAAAGCAATACTTCACAAGCGAAGAGTCCATCGGTGAGCGGTCCACGTGCATCGTGGCCTTCTGCGTCTTCCTGCTGATAGCAATGATTGTGCTGATCATTGATGACTCCAATCTGGAGGTTGGAGTGGACCCAGCATATGACAGCTTCTTCGAAAATGCCTCAAAGTTCTTGGAGAACCAGGGACTGTCATCTGTGTAAGTTAGAAACATAATTCTCATAAACAAAAAAAGCCTATTTTTCTTTCTTTCTTTCAGAAGACATCACACGAGTAGGTTCTACATTTCTTCAAAGTATACATTTTAGCTTCATAAATTATACCTTGATTTTTTAGAATCCAGCAGAGATGTAAACAAACACTTTCATATACAATTACACCATAATCACTTACGTGTTCATAACATCATACACATTATTTAACAAGCCCATGAAACCAACTTTATTTTCACGTTTATACAAGTTTGAAATCAATCTTTGAAACAAATTATTTTAGCAAAATGAAAATTTGTGAGACTTGTCAAATTGACTTGACGTTTAAAATCATGTGTTATCTCCATATTGTCTATGACTTGTCTCTGACACATCAGTGCTGTAACCTGTGAGTCATAGACAATAATCTGTAAATTTAATCGATATTTCTTTAAGTATTCACTTATTCCAATTACTGATTAATTTTAAATAAAAAGTATACGATACTTTGTTAAGTTTTACATTATTGGAGATAACGTAAAATTATTTTTCTACTTTTAGTGTATACTCTTTCGGAGTCAGTTTAATTTTTAGTCGGTTTTATTTAAACGAAATTATTTTCCTTTTTTATGCAATAATGCTTACGTATTGTTCCATTGCTTATTAATAAAAGAAAAAAAATCTTCTTTTAATTGATAGCATCTTATTAATTACCTCCCTAGCGGAATAGAGAAACAAAGGACTGAGCGAGCGAGATGTCACTAGTAGCAACACTGTCAAACAGAACTTTTTGCAACTATTTGAAGTTTAATAACTTTACGGATTTTACTGTCCACAGTTTGTTTTTTGATTACATCTGTGCATACAGTTTGTTTCCTGTTCTCGAAAATTTCATAATCAGTTCACATTCAATGTTGCGACTTTGTTGCATATTTTTATTATTTTGACGATTACCCGGCGATGATACGCAAGTACTACAATAATTTCACTTCGCGATTAACGAGAGGTTTTGTCGCATCACTAGTTCACAGACTAAAAATATTTTTATGTCAGTTGGCCATGTTTGATGACATTTCTGCTGATTTCTAAAAAATTAGACTGTATGCTCTCATTCTTGCTTCACAAGCTACAATAACTTAATATAAAAAAACCATCAATAAATGTTTTTGATGAAATCTTTCCTGTATTTCCAGGGGTCCAGCTTCAAAGTTGATAATAAAGTTGTCCCTGGCTGTGTGGGCGGCAATAGTTGGCACTCTCTTCACATTCCCTGGACTGAGAGTGGCTCGGATGCACTGGGACTCACTGAGGTAATGATTATTTACTAGATAAGGCTATAATTGGATTGATCTATGTAGTAAAACTACTGAGAGTTCAGTGCCATAACAATATGGTTTAGAAAATACCTGAGTGACTGAAGACAACAGTTGCACCAGGGGTTTAAAAGACTAGTTACGTCACTGCCAGTGTAGCAAGCTGAGCACATGGGAAACTGTGTCATTGTGAAGGTTGAGAGATATTGAGCATACCATATACTTACTGCTATTTATTTAATACTGCATTTGCATCTATTTCAGATACTACGGCGACAGCAAAGTGAAAGCCCTGCTATTAAATATCAATTTCGCGATGCCATTCGTACTAACGCTGCTGTGGATCCGTCCTGTCACGAAGTACTACCTAACCGTTAGAATATTTAGTGGAATGGAGAAACCCATGTGAGTGTTTACTTTTATATGTGCTAGTGTTTCTAGTCAATTTTACTGTTAAAGTAAAATTGACTAGAAATGTGTCTTTAAGTATGTAGTGGTTAAAGAAATGGTTAAATTTTAAAGTTGAGGCGTACCCGGTACTCATCCTAATGTAATATTTAAATACAGAACACACACAAAACGTTACACCAGCTACCTCGCTCTTATTAAATGTGCGTAAGCGAGACTCATAGTACTTTGTAGTTAGACTACACACATATACACAAGACTACACAGTCTACACATAAGAAAGCGCGGTGAGAGTACACATAAAAATCTTTCATCATCATTTCAGTCACAGGACGTCCATTGCTGAACATAGGCCTCCCAATGACTTTCACATCGCACCGTTGTTAGGGCTGGTAAAAATCTTTGCTTGTGTTGATCGCCTCAACTCTCGCTGCGCGACCTATAATTATTCGATTGCGAAGATTTGTTACATTGTAGTTTTTATGCCCTTACAGTATGACAGCAGACGCGTTCGACACCGGCCGCCTGGCTCTCCTAGCAGCCACGGTGGCGCTGCGAGTGGCTCTCATGCCGCGCCAGCTGCAAGCCTACCTGGACATGGCGCAGCGCCGCCTGGACGCCGTGCGCAAGGAGGCTGGGAGGATCACCAACATCGACCTGCAGAAGAAGGTGTTATACTAGTGTCCTTACAGCATGACAGTGGCTGCCTGGCTCTCCTAGCAGCCACGGTGGCGCTGCGAGTGGCTCTCTTCGCAACATTACACCGGTCGTCTGGCCATCTAAGCAGCCACAGTGGCGCTGTGAGTGGCTCTTGTCCCTTGAAACATGATAGCAGACGCGTTCAACCAGTCGCCTGGCGCTGCTAGCAGCCATGGTGGCACTGCGAGTGGCTCTTATACTCTTGCAGGATGACAGCAGATGGGTTTGACAGCGGTCTCATGTTGCTCCTAACAGCCACGGTGGCTACCCGCATCCAGGTTTCCCGCAATCTTAACTAGATCATCAGTCCACATCGTGGGAAATCTGCCCACACTATGTCTTCAGGCCCGTGGTCGCCACTCGAGATCTTTTCTGTTCGAGTGGCCAATCAGCTCTACGAATGCGACGTCATGGGCATGGTCATAGTAGGATCACCAATGTAGATATGCGGAAGAATGAATAAATAAAATCTGATGAATAACTTATTAGAAGCTATGTTGTGATTCTGACCTATGCACATGAACACCACCGCTAAAGTAAGAAATTAAGAAATAAATAAAATAAAAAAAAACGTTTATTGCTTTTTACACATAAAAGGAATTACAAGAAATAAAATTACATTATAAGCTTAAAATAACTTATATGCTAAAAGAAAAAGCAAATGGAGGTGGCTCAACATGTGCCGCCAAGGACTACCTGCCCTAGACAGCGCTGGTTTTCAGCCACCACCATTATATAGTGTAAAATTGAAACATAACATTCTACAGGTGGCCTCAGTATTCTACTACCTCTGCGTGGTAGCTCTCCAGTACGTCTGCCCGCTCGTCATGAGCCTGTACCTCGCGCTCATGTACAAGACGCTCGGCGGCTACTCCTGGGCCGCCGTGTTCTATGACACTGTACGGAACGAGACTGAAAGCGTGGTTGTACCAGATGTAGGAGCGACGGAACAGTACCAGCTGGCGTGGGAGAATCTTAAGATGGTAAATGTTCCTATTTTACTTTGTTTTATATTTTTAGGGAAAAAAATGAATATAAAACATGCTAAAAGTAATAGAATTACAAGATTAAACTTATCGACAAAGTATTACAAAACTGCTGCAAGGGTACTATTTGCAAATAGATGAAGGGTGTGAAAAATTAATTATTTTCATTTTTTTGCTTTGACAACACTTTACCTACAACCAATGTTTCATGCATGTTGAACACGAGCTACAGTTTGTCTATAAAGTCGTGACATAAAATGAGGGCGCTTTTTTTCTTCATGTAGCAACCCTATACAATTTGACCAAATGAGTTTGATACTATAGTCTATCCAACATAGCTTGATTAGAATGACGGCTGTCAAACGAATGTGACTAGTGATGGGTATGTTTCGTACGGTTCACATAGATGTATCGATAAGTTTTCGAAAAAANTAATGATATTTATAATGGAGTTTATTTGGCTCACCTTGACTTCTTTTATTTTCATCCATTGCACAACAGCGTTCAAGTTCTTGGTTCAATTTTTACAGCCTAAGGTTGACTTAAAATCCAAAAATTTGGTATGATCCAACTCGATTACAGTACATGGTTGTAGTTTCATGCTTTGATTGAAAGCTGTGCCAAAAATAAATGTATTTATACTCCTTTAGAATGGTTTTCATTGGTACGACACAGTGATTCGAGTAGAACAAGCTAGCTGGACAATATTATTTTTTTACTTTAATGGGTTTGATACACGCATTGCTTACTTTTTGTGCAATTTAAGATTAATTAGGCTTGTTATTATAATTATTGTAGGTAGGTATGAAAAAAAAATGTTTTTTGGTAATAAAATATTTATTTCCTAAAATCAAGAGAAACAGACTAAAAAGGAAAGAAGAAACTAACTTTACAGTATAATAATAATTGGTCTTATGATGTATTAGGTGTTAAAGTATGAAATTCCCGTTTTGTTATGGAGAATTTAATGAAAATAAATTTTTCGATATAAACATTTTTGCGATTTATATGGAACAAAGAATCTCATTTTTTTAAAAATTTAGTTGGTAGACTGGGACAACATTAATGACTTGCCAAGTTGCTGTGGCCAGCANTTCGGTGAAATTATGACTTTCGATCGTATGTCCACCTATTTTTAAAATCAAACTAATGTGCGGCACAACAAAGCAATTTACATTTGCTGTGTAACCGCTGTTTGTGAGGGACGAAATATTTACGTCGCATCTCTTAGTAATTTTGGAACATTGACTATTTAATCCTTGAACGGATATTGAAGTTGAATAGCATGGAATGTTAAGTTGTCTTTGTAAGTTTTCAACCGACTTCAAAAAAAGGAGGAGGTTGCGTATGTTTGTTACGCGATAGCTCCGCCAATTATGAACCGATTTGAACAAATCTTTTTTCAGCGTATAGGTAATATCTCAAGGGTGGTCCCATTTAAATTTAATAATAAAAAAAACAACCCCCAAGGGTGGAAAATTGGGGATGAACTTTTTTATACGCAATATCTCCGCCGATTATAAACCAATTAGAACGATTACTATTTTGTTATTAAATTTTTAGCGTTTAGAGTCGCATCTCAAACTAATTTGAAAATTATAAATAACTTGAAAAAACGCTGGCTGTAACAGCGTATTACACTTGAAAATTTCGACGGGTTCATCCAGTGTCTAAGTAGCTCAGTTGGAAGAGCAGTCGCCCGGCAAGCGGAAGGTCGTGGGTTCAATTCCCGCCTTAGGCAGTTCGATTTTTTCAAGTTATTTATAATTTTCAGATAACCGGATATAGAGGTTACTTACATAGGTAAATAGTTTTAACTTCAGACACGGAAAAGTTATCCCGTTAGCCAATAATATTTTGGAAGGCTTAGGTCAGCCTAAAAGTAAAACTGAGGTGTACGCACTCCAATTTGGAGATGAGATAATATTCTGAACGCTTGGGCGAATCTTGGCTAATTGACTGAGGGACGAGTCAATCCAGAAGTTGACTAAACATTCTTGTACATGTTGTCACGTGTCTCTTACGCAAATAAATTAAAACGGGGGGCTTATCCCTCAAGGTAACTGCTCGAGGAAGCGCAGAAATAGTAATAAAAAAGAAAAATACACAAAATGATAAAATGTATATGACGGCGCGTTTCTATTTTTAATAATATTCTTTCAATTTAAACTTGATTAATTGCAAAAATAAAAGTAGTTCTATTGATTTTTCTGACACTTAGATTACTGTCATATTATGATAATTAGATTTTTTTAATTTGATTGCATGCATGTAATAATTTTGATTTTGTATTATGGTTCCAAAATAATTCTCAGTATTATTAAAATAAGCTTAGTTAAAAAATAAGTCACTAAACTAAGGAGGGACTGTGTAGTCCGCGTGGGCTTGCGAGTTGCGTCAGCGTGCGTAGTGGGGGTATAGTGGGGAGGCTGCCTTATTAGTAGCAAATCAAAGCCCGGTCGTTCAGTTGCGCTCGAGGCGTCGCGCTGAACGTAGCTCGCAATTCTACGTACTCCGTAGTCCGCAAAGTGTTCACCTATTGTTATTCTGTTTATACGAATAAACGTTTTTTGTGTGAAGTGTTTCGGGTCTTATTTATCAACGCTGCTTCCCGCCCATGGATTCGCATGAGCGTACCCACCAGCTCGGAAATCCTTCATATATAATGATATTGTTCGAAATAAAAGCATTTATGCGTTTCTGAAAATTGCCAGACACTCCAGGTATATTGCCTTCTTCCTTTTTTGGGACTCTGTTAATTTTTTTGAAAAATAAGCTACTGGCTTCATATCCCCATTTTTATCCTTCTGTTTCAACACCGCTCCTACGCCCTCGATACTAGCATCCGTGTAAATATTTATCGGTAGTTCAGGGTCAAAGATATTTAGAACTGGTTTTGAACATAGCATTTCTTTTATTTTATCAAATGATTTCTGGCATTCTGCCGTCCATAATTATGAATTTTACATCTTTTCGTAGCAAATTGTGTAACGGGTCCAAGATGATTGCACTGCGTGGTATGAATTTATGATGAAAATTTACTTTCCCCAGGAACTGACGTACATTTTTTCTTGTTTTAGGAACTGGAAAGTCCTTAACAGCTGTTAAATAATCTTTCAATGGTCTGACCGAATTGTTTTCCACTATGTGACCCAAATATTTTGCGTATGTTTTTGCAAAAGTACATTTAGAAAATTTCAATCTAANTCAAAAATATTTAAAACGAGTTACTCAAAAGTTTAGTTCCGGGCTCAGCTCGACATCAATCAACCCAAACGAAACTTACTGACAAAGAACACATTAACTTAGCTAACAATGCTTTTGGGGCGTTAGTTGGACACGAGCTAGGTAATGTTCATGCTTTTTGAAAGTAATAAATCCTTAATTTTATGTCTCGGTATTTTACTATTGAAGACCTTTCTTCTGATGTCCATATTGAGGGAGTTGTTAGAAATATATGTTCCGCCATTTTTGGCGGCGGCCATCTATCTTGGACCAATTTTCATCAAACATAGCTAAGAACATTCCCGACTAATCCACCTTTAAAAAAAAACTAGATCAAACATATAACACCCCGTCGTTTTTTCGTCGGGGGTAAAAATCAGAATGTCAACATATGACTAGTTAGCCAATAGGAATAAAATATAAACAGAATGCCACCTAACACATATTAGCCCTCTTATTGACTTCAAAGAAGAAGAATAATTCATATTTCTTAAAATATCCTATATCATAACAACACAAACAACGCCGGAAACATTTTTTTTACCAATTTTTTCGCTACATGGTAATCTTTGAGAGAAGAATTCATTAAAAATATAGGTAGGTATATACATTTTATAATAAGACTCGAGGCTTACTTGCCTCCATAGAAGCTGGCTCTGATACAAAGGAGTGTGTGAAGTTTCAGAACTGTTTTTAGACCACCAAGGCAGTTTTTCAACAACGAATGAAGTGATGGGTCCCATTTTTCCAAAAGGAAAGCCAATATAGGAACATAGAAAGGCTCGTACCTACCGGTGATTGACTCTGCGTCCGAATCCATAACATTTTGTAAATCATTCAACACTAAATTCGTCCTGTAGTTGACTGGATCCGTTTTTGACTTCTCCTCAATTATGAGATCTATTAGTTCGATTGGATTGAGTAGTAATTTGCCGTCTTTAGTTTTGTACGTCTTACTATCAACTAAGTAACAAATATATGAAATTATTGACAGTATTCCATAAAGACTTTTAATATACATAATAATTATTGTTAATTACAATAATTGTTTTATTTCAATAGATTGATAAAAAGAAAATTATTTTGATACGAGTATCTCATGTCTTTTAATGACAACTATGACAGTTTACGGACTAATAAATCAGTCGTTCATCAAAAACCATGAAGGTTGTAAAAAAATAAATTGCAGTATTTTGTAATGTTTTAATTTTGTTATAGTGTGTGTTCACACATTAAGAGAAGACTGACTTGAATCACACAGAGTGATTCTACTGACTCCTGAATGATAGAGCACCAAGTAGGTATTTTTAGTGTGTATCCCTCGTCCTTATGACTTGCTGAGCCCCACATAACCCTCATAATAAGAGAAAACTTTGACCTGAATCACACAGTGATTCCACTGACTCCTGAATGATAGAGCACCAGTTTTTTTAGTGTGTTTGCCTCGTCCTTATGACGACACACTTGCTAAGCACCACATAATCCACATAATAAGACTTTGACCTGAATCACACAGTGATTCCATTGACTCCTTAATGATAGAATAACTATTTTTTATTTGTTTTCCTCGTCTTTATGATTTGCTGAGCCCCTCATAACCCACATAAAAAGAGAAGGCTGACCTGAAACACACAGTGATTCCATTGACTCCTGAATGATAGAGCACCAGTTTTTTTAGTGTTTGCCTCGTCCTTATGACTTGCTAAGCTCCACATAATCCACATAATAAGACTTTGACCTGAATCACACAGTGATTCCATTGACTCCTGAATGATAGAAAAACTATTTTTTTTTTTCGTTTTCCTCGTCTTTATGACTTGCTAAGCCCCACTTAATCCACATAATAAGACTTTGACCTGAATCACACAGTGATTCCATTGACTCCTTAATGATAGAATAACTATTTTTTATTTGCTTTCCTCGTCTTTATGATTTGCTGAGCCCCACATAACCCACATAAAAATAGAAGGCTGACCTGAAACACACAGTGATTCCATTGACTCCTGAATGATAGAACAACTATTTTTTTTTTGTTTTCCTCGTCTTTATTACTTGCTGAGCCTCACATAATCTACATAATAAGAGAAGACTGACCTGAATCACACAGTGATTCCATTGACTCCTGAATGATAGAGCACCAGTTTTTTTTAGTGTTTCCCTCGTCCTTATGACTTGCTAAGCCCCACATAATCCACATAATAAGACTTTGACCTGAATCACACAGTGAATCCATTGACTCCTGAATGATAGAACAACATTTTTTTTATAGTGTGTTTACCTCGTCTTTATTACTTGCTGAGCCTCACATAATCCACAAAATAAGAGAAGACTGACCTGAATCACAGTGATTCCAATGACTCCCGAATGATAGATTTTGTTTGCCTCATTCTTATGACTTGCTGAGCCCCACACAACCCACTTAATAAGGAAGACTTTGATCTGAATCACACAGTGATTTCACTGACTCCTGAGTCATAGAGCACCAAGTTTATTTTTAGTGTGTTTGCCTCGTCCTTATGACTTGCTGAGCCCCACATAATAAGAGAAGACTTTGACCGGAATCGCCTGAGAAAATATATTTTTGATGAACAAGACAATTTGTAAATTAAATAAATTCTCTTGTAAGATTTGTCTTAAATCAATATCTTAAAACATATAGGATTCTGAGCGATTGCGTGGCATGTTACATCCCAAGTATAACAAATACGTAGGGATGTGGCAGTGGCGGCGTAGCATGGGTTAGCACCCGGGGCGATCCCCCCCGATTTATTTTCTTGTATTTGGTTCTACGTAGACTGTGGCTATGTGTGTGTGTGTGTTTTTTTTTTCAATACATTTAATTCAATTTTTTTTACAAAATAGAAACTTAATCATTATTATGAAAATGGCAAGTTTAAGAATAGAGCTATTGAATGCAAGATCTCTCAATACAGGTGAGGATGAACTTTATCAGTTCGCTAACTATGGCCTACTTATGCTTACTCAGCGACCCTATCATCGAACTCCTCCGACTTTTGTCGCCAACACAACTTAAAACAATTAAGTCACAGAAGCGACAAGAGACAGAGACATACTGGATGACATACAAATGATACCTTTGTTGCAGGGAAGTAATAGTGGTACATAATCGAAGCTTAAGCGACCATGGTAGAGTAGATTCGGTAGATTTTAATGTAAGAACATCCAAATTTATGAAACATTAAGTACTATACCTACACAAGAAATTTTTACAACATCAATATATCGCTCTTCGAGAAAGATTTGAAGTCGATCGCATGGAGATCAATAATGAAAAATACAGATGTAAATGTAATGGTTAAATCTCTTGATAAACTTATCAGACTTGTTTGATAGACACGCGCCAATAAAACGGAAAATTAATTCGCCGCCAAAACCATGGATTACAGACACAGTAAAACGAATGATGGAGCTACGGAATGAGGCATTACAAAGATCACAGATAAAGAAAATGCTCTAAAGAATATTAACGCCGTCTCAAAGCCTAGAGGCTGTGCTCTATAGATAGAGCACGAGAAAAAAACATGCTACAACAATGTTTTGAATAAAAACTTGGATAAATCTAAAGAACTATGGAGTAATATTAGGAAAACATCTATCAATGAAACCTCTAACACAAGTATTATCCCAGAACATATAAACTGATCCCGACATGTTTAATAAACATTTTTTGCAATTGCCGGAAAAGAGCTTACTCACTCGGAAAAAGTTAATATGACAATATGAAGTGCGAGACACAAGGTTAATTTAGACTACGCCCTGTAACTGAAGAACAAGTAAGGAAAATCATACACAACATAAAGACCAATGTTTCAGGACACGATACAATAAATATAGAAGGTTGAACATTTACATACCTCACCTGTATTGAGATATCTAGCTTTCAATGGCCTTCACAAACTGTTAAACTTGAATCCATATTTCATAATAATGATAGAGTTTCTGTTTTGTAAAAAAATGGCCTTATGACTTGCTGTACCCCGATTTTGCCTGTTCATCAACAGCCCTTTACAGTCCACTGCTGGACTATGAGCCTCCTCCACTATAGTGGAGGGATTTGCCATAATCTCCACGCTTGGCAGGCGGGTTGGAGATCGCAGTTTAAAAGATTGATGTTTTTCAGAGAGCGCTGCTGCCCGTTCTCTGTTTGATGTGTAGTCCCTAAGTCTGCCTGTTATTTTTGAGAAATGACATAGAAAATTAAATATAAAAACCATTTTTAATTATTTAGGCAATCTCACGTCACCGCTGGACAAAGGATAAGGACCCAAGGATTTCCACTACGATCGGTCCTTCGCTGTCCGCATCCAGGTAGGTACTCCGCGCGACCTTCACAACAGATAGTCCGTCCACCCAGTGGTTGCCACTCGAGAACTTTTCTGCTTCAGCAGCCATCAGATCTATGATATTATTAACCTATTATTTCTAACAAAAAAAATGTGTTGAAGAATTACCTACATGTTTCTCTCGTAATAGGTTAGTTTCTACTAGCTACTACTACATCGTCATCATCATTTCCGCCGCGAACGTCCGCTGCTGAACATAGGTCTCCCCCAATGATTTCCATGATGACCGGTTGGCAGCGGCCTGCATCCAGCGCTTTACCGCTACCTTTATGAGGTTATAAGTTCACCTTGTGGGTGGACGTCCTACCTACGCTGCGCTCTCCGATACGTGACCTTGCTGCCTTCAGTTTCTACTATTTTCTACTAAAATATATGAAAGTTATTATTCAGTTGCATAAAGAAAACCTCCAGAATTTATGCTACTCAGTCGATGGACGCAATGGTGGGCTCAGTCAACCTGAAAGGAAAAAACACTTTAAGAGGAAAAAGGTACTTGCATGCAGGTTATA